CCAGGTAAGATTTTTTTTTTTTGCAGGGTATCTGAGGTTGGCCAGGGGTGAAGCCCAAAATGGTGATGTTTCCATGGTGAATCTTAGATAATGTGGGCAAAACAATGCCATGTTTACCATCCCCCAGTCATCAGCATAAAAAAATAGGTGGTATGTAGAAACCATTCCCAGGAAGTCATGGGTGATTTATGGCATTGTTTTATCCACATGAAACCCATTAGTAAACCATACCTCTTGTTGATTATATAACTATATCGTATTTATAGGTCTTTGTTGGGAACTTTGATGTATTTTGTTGGCTATAATTCTAGGGCCTTGTTGAATTCTAGGGCTTTGCTGGGGATTGATATGATATAACCGATATAATTACTACATCGGTGTGATTTTTTTGGTTATGATATACTATAACATACTATAGAACCATAAATACTATAAAACTGCCATTTGTTATGATGAAATTATATTTATTGATATTTATTGGTTTATAAAGCCATAGAAATTTCACTGGGCTGCGTACTTCATGCAATTATGCGCCTATAAGCCGGTTAATAGATCACTTACAGTTGTGGCCATTTACCAATTATAAATTGTTATAACTGGTGATTTCTACGGGACTATACATTCCATAAATGCATATATGGGGTTATAAGTATTTATAAGTGGTAAAGGGTCATAACTGTAGATATGTTTTTCAATGAGTTCTTTTTCCTCCAGTTACAACTGTTAAGGGCCTATAACCGTAGAAATGCGGGAGACCACTTCGAATCACCACTCTAACAGAAACACATATTATGGACCATCTGAGTTTGGCCCTACGAAAAAAAAAAACACAAAAACGAACTAACATTTGATGTTTCCCCCGGAGGAATCCGAAGAACTTCCGAAAAAACTCAGTGCTTGTCTCTGCTAAATCGGAAACGACGATTCCCTGGTGTTGCTGTGCCGGGGAGGCGAACATATCATCCAGGGTGGCGCAGAGCTCTGCGTATGCCTACTATGATTGGCTATCATTTTCCTGAGTATGATTATAGGAGTCTACCCCTTTGAGTTGTGTTGCGCCTCAACCAACATTACGCATCCTTTTTCATCCTTTTTCCATCCATTTGTTGATCGTCATTCCAGGTAAATCTCGGTTGGTACTTGAATATTTGAAAGTTTGCCATGTATATATATATTTAATTACATATACGTATAAATATATATATATATAAATTAAGATGTATTTGTAATGTATATTACATCTATCCATCCATCCATCTATCTATCTATCTATGAACCTATGCGCATTTGATGCCCAGCCTTTTTTTTGCATGGTAAGTTACGGTCTGTTTTCCATCGTTGAGCAGTGGCTCAGGTCTCAAGTCTCGAGCCAGCGGTATGGGCTTTGACCCTGAGGTACTGCGGGCACCGCCAGGAGAACGGGATGATATCCCATTGCTGGTTAGGTTCATAAAGAATAATGAAATTACACATGAAATACCCACATTCATGGGATAAACATGGAAGAAACATGGGATAATATGGTTTTATCTGGTTTATAGGGATAACTCTGGGTAAATTTCATCATGACCGAACCCTGTTCTCCAGAAGCCTGGAATCATGGTTTTTATATAGGGAAATCATCCCCAAATGGCCGAACTATTTAGGTCAGTGAAATATTATAATTGTCCCTGATATATCATATTATGTAATAATATATATATATATATATTGATATAGAATATCACTGAAATGGGGTCATAAGATGTTATAAGTATAGCCATTTATAACTGTGAAGGGCCATAAACTGTCATATTTGATAGTGGAATTTACCAATAATTGAGCAGGAACCAATCTTACTTTGGCAAAACAGATAAATTATACCAGTTGATTTTTATCTTGTTTGGTTATATTGATAAGATTGGCAATATGACTAATATGGATCCGTTAACGACCGATTTTTTTTCGCCTCACAGATTAGCTTCTCCAAGATGACCACAGCGGATGCGTGGCAGCCCAGGGATGCGGCGGATCGATGATGGGTTTGTCCGAACATCGGGAATCTACCCTCTGGTTATGACTACCAGTTCGCCATGGTTTTTCGATGGCCCTAATCGAAATAGATGGTTTACCTAAATAGCATGGTGATTTTCCATGGCTATGTTGGTCATAACCAGATGGTAGACAAAGGCTGTTTATGATGTTGTTTGGACTAAACATATACTTAGTGTACTTATCATCAGGGTTAGTTAACCCAGTTCCAGGCTATCTTCCAGTGATGCGATGGCACCAGTTTAAGCTGGGTCATGTATCCATCTAACTCTATATATGGAGATTTCCTAAAATGCATGGTTTGTGGGATCTCCTATTTTAATAAACCTCCATACATCTAGCAATTTATTTATACACTGTTTTTTCACACACAAATACTTTTACAAAGAAATATGTTCCTAAGGAAATTTGAGAGAGGTCAGCTGCACCGAAAGCAACAAAGTCCAGGATAACAACAAAGATAGATTCAGATGTAAACCGCACCTACAACAAAAGCATGTTTCCACTACTTTACCTTACAAACACCATTGACACTGTGGGATTTGCAAGGCATCGAAGAAAACGAGAACGCCATTGGTGGCGGGTCACAGAAAGCACAAGATTGGCGTGTCCCCTTTGCCCAGATTATGAAAGTTGGAGTGTGAACCAAAAACGAGAACATTGCCATCAGCTCCATGCAAAACTTTCTATGACAGACATGGTTTCATTTTTCGGTGGAGGAACAGTGCCACACAGCGATGTCTACATATAAGGACTTTTGTTGGGTGCAGACACCCTGTTAAACATCGCTTCATGTCACTTGTCAGTTGCATTGACCAGCCTTGAGGAGAGAAAAGCAGTGGGCTCCACAGAAATCATTTTTGCAGAAGATTTTGTGCTGACAGATGCAAATATTGATGACTTAATGTCATTAATTTTGCCCTTGCTTCCACAGAAAAGTTTGCGCATCACAATACAGGTCCTTCAAAATCAGCAACTGATCCATTTCCCTACAGTTGTAGCCCTTAACATTTATACTGTAAATGGCATTATAATTCCTGCAACGAAGGTTATATATCACTTAAATGGGGTTTTGTTCGCCAGATATAACTTTGAAGGACCACAACTGCAGTTATAAGTCATGCGCCCCCCCCAATCAGTAAGAACGGTGGATTTGTTTGAAAGCCATCTTTGCTGGGCTGATCCCAATCGAAGTGAAGGTATTTGTGAAGCGGTCATCAAAGGATGTGAACATGTGGGAAACTACGGAAGTATGGTGATTTAACCATCAACCATTGTGAAAACTTATTTACAATATGGGGCTGAAGTACCAAAAAATGGGGATTGATACTTGATTTATCTGATTAAGGATAGCTAAATTGATTTTCGACTAGGTGAATTCTAGGGTTTATGCTTGATATATCTATAGTTCGATGGGATTAGTATACAAGATGGCACCACCACCTTGTTGGGTTTGCTCAGCAGTGTTTGTCTATGGAAGTCCAAGTTTTTGTTGATCATTTCTTGCAATGTGGGGCCCTCTAGATAGCTGAGTTGGTTTACAAATCCAATAACTATTGTTTCTGATATTTATGACTATACTTAATGGTCTTTATAAACCAACTTATACCTGAGGGGCCCCACATCGTGGGCCAACACCCGTGACTTCATCGTGGCAAGTCAAGCGCATGTACTGTGCCAGTTATCTGTGTAACGGTCATCAATCCATGAATACAATTATGACCCGAACTACCAGTTATAAGTACGTTACTAAATCACCACATTTAGGGAACGTATAATCCAATTGAACTAACCAGTCATTTAACCATTTATCATTGGTAAAGGGCCATAACTGTAGGATTCAATATGGACTTACATACCCTTTGGTAAACCAACATATGGAAAATCACCATGCTTAATTGGCAAATCAACTAATTGTAAATGGCAATTTTCAATTGTTTTTTTTATGTTTACCAGAGGGTACCCATTGTGCTTGGATTTCCGGTGAATGGACGACCGGGCAGCCCACCCCATGAAACTTGACCATGGCACAGCTGATGTAACGCGTTTCGTCGAGGTGGGATTGTCTCCATATGGGAGATACCGGTATACCTCAAACAATTGCAGCTGTATCACTCTACATATATGTAATTACTGTATATAACTGTTTATAACTGTATATAGACTATATATAAATAGTCATTGTTACTGCGAGAAAAAAAACTTGTCTTAATCTTTGTATATATACATGTTTTGACATATGCATTAAGACGTAAAAATATTGGGTGTTTTCCGGTAGATGTAAAAGCGGTCCGCCTCAGGCACTGGTGTGGTTTGCCATGAGAAATCCCTCGCAGCAGGCAACATGGGACCCCCCAGTGATGTTTGTAATCCAGGGATATCATGGGACCCCCCAGTATATAGATGTTGGATAGATATCTGTTGGGATATCATTGGATATGTCTACCATAACCAAACAGTAGAATAGACTCCTTGTAAATTTTCACAGAAATCGATCTTGTTTACCAACAAGAAAAATCCCCAGTCTCAGTGATTACTTACCCAATCTTTAGCGGTTATATCATACATATCTACCATCATGAGTCGATAATTATTGGTAGTAGTATTCTCCCATGGTATTCCGATTTGTATATAGAAAGAGTCATCAAAACCGACAATGAAAATCACCCGTTTGATTGCTTAAATACATATGAATACTATTAATCAATCTTGAGGGGTTGTAATAGTTCAACATGTTCAATACTTTTAGACTCGTTAAATCACCATTTGATTTCTTGATCAATTTGGGTATGGGTCAATACCTATAGATATATACATTTTAGTGGGATGAACATCCATTTACCAGCTATTTTGGGTTCACTAGGTACCAGGGTTTTGACCCATAGGCATGGTGGCCCGAGTACTTTCCAGTAGTGTGCCTGTTCCCAACAGAACTCGGAATCCCGTGTTGACCTCCGTTTTTGCCTGCCATGGACATTCACATGCTGGAACCAGAGTTGAAACATGACGAAATTGTTTCCATCCTGGCTGAAGTAGTGGTTTTCGATGACCATCAGACAAAGCATTGCCTCAAGACAGCCCTCAAAGGATTGTTTTTGCGCTTCCATGGATCCCTTCCAGCTGACTCCACCGTAGTGCTGATTGTAGGAGCCAAGACTTTGATCAACCAGGGACAACCGACCCTTCATGCTGTGGATGACACCCGAGTTTTCCATAGGCCTTATGTAGGATTGTCAGATATCCGCCGAGTTGTTGAAGTATGCTCAGGTGCCGGATTTTTGGGAATAGGCCTCGAACATAGTGGTTTTGAAGTGACACTCCGTTGTGACCACAACAACCGAATGTTGCAACTTGCCAGTCAACTGCATCCGGCCGAAGTTGTGTTAGGAGATGTTTGCACTGATTCATTGCTGACTCCAATTTGCAGCAGCCAGCCGAGAGCAGGCACACTCGCAGGTGGTGTAGCCTGTCAACCGTACTCCCGCCTGGGAGATCAAAGACATGGGTTGGACAACCGGTCCATGACTCTGCCTGGAGTCCTGCGCATTGGATTCATGTGCCGCTTCGGTGCCATAGTGTTAGAGTGTGTAGCTGAAGCACACCCATGCCCATGGTTCCAAATGATCATCCGCCAGTTTGCTCAACTCACCGGCTATGGAATTGCTCAAGGAGTTTGCCACTTGAACTTGCTCTGGCCAGCCAAACGCAGCCGATGGTGGTGTATCCTTACACACCCTGCAATTGGCCCTGTTCAATGGATTCCCATGCCTATCACCACAGCCAAGCCAATCGTTGCAGATCTGCTTGACCGTTTCAAAGACTGTACAGATGAAGAGTTGCAGCAGCTTGCACTAGATTTGTACGAGACAGGAAGGTTTGCAGCCCATGGTTTTGAAAACAACGAGTTGCAGTGGAGAAACCAAATGCAGACCAGTCTCCACAGTTGTGGAAGCCAACTTTCTGGCTGCCCATGCGGGTGCCGCAAATTTGCATTCCATGATGACAGACTGACCAAGAAAGGCCTCCATGGGATTTTGATCCGCCTTGCAGGTTCTCAGACGTGCGGCATGAACGCATATCCATGTTTCAGACACATCCATCCGGCAGAGCTTGCACTTTTGAATGGAATGTTGCCGGACATGCCATGGGGTAAAGATCTCAAGATGAGTTTGTGTGCTTTGGGACAACTTGCCTCGCCCATTCAATCCACATGGGTTGGTTCCATGCTCATGAGACATATCCAGATTAATTGTGAATCAAATGAGGTCATTGATCCCCATGTCAACCTACTCCAATGGATGGAAAAAGTGTTGAACAGTCGAGATGCCGTTTTTGGCCCACAAACCAACCCAAATGCGAAGCATTTTGAACACCTTGTTCATACACGAGTTTTTGCCACCACCATGCCACCGAGTGACAAACCCGCAGAAGTGAATCCAATGCCAAACCAGATCCCAAATGCCAATGCCATTCACACCACTGAGGCCATGCAAGACCATGCAGATGACAAAGCTGATCAACCAGAGTCGGCCAACAAGCTGTGTAGCCCAGATGTCTCAGGTATGTCCAGTAGTGCCGAGTCCATGACATCAGTCAAACGTCATGCATCAACCATGTACCAAGAAGCCTCAACAGCCAACATGCCAGCCCAAATCAATGGGGGAGTTTATGGATTCCAAAACACTCAGGTGAAGAAATCCCGTAAGACTGAGGTTGAAGTGCCAGGAGTCTTGCAGTTCATGCCATGCCAGAGCACCATGTCAGAACATCCTGTTGGAACTCACAGATCGCCAGGTAATGAACTTGCCCCGACCCTATCCCCCTGTGCCAAGCCTCTTCCACGTTTAGGGTGTGGAGGCCCCTCCCAAATGAAGGATGATCACAGTACCAAAACACCCCAGGTTGGAATGGGCCTTGATGTCACATCAACACCAGCGATCAACCCGCACCAACTGGAACCTGATGCCAAGATCGACCATGGACCAAGCGTCATGACTGAGGCACTCCAAGATACAAGACAGGACAAGCCTCTTCCACGCTTAGGGTGTGGAGGCCCTGTCAAATCAATTGCAATCACTCCATCGAACCATGGCGGAACTTTTGATGATCACATCAACCAAGCCAACCGAGAGTTTCCAAGCCTACCAGGTCAACCACCGAAAGATGACGACCAATCCGAAGACTCAACTTTTGCCAAGTCACTGAAAACCAGTGGGATGCATCCGTTTCGAGCAGACCCAAGCCCCATTCCACCAGGGAATGGTGTACCGGCCGTAGCAACCGCAGATGGTAAGCCTTTGAGTGACATTTCCCAGATGCAGAACACTTCAGGTTTTCCGATGCATGAAGTTCAGCCGAAACCATTTGATGCCAACCTTATGCCACCGGTGCCAAGGACTGATTCCCCCCCTTGCCCCCCAGATGCCATGCCTCTTCCACGTTTCGGGTGTGGAGGCCCCTCCCAGTGTCATGAATCACTGAGAGAGTCATCAAGCAGCATTGGTCTTTGGGCAAACAAGGCATCACCAAGTGACTGGCATGACGGACGTGATGATTCGACCAATGACCAGATCATGATGCCCAAACGCCAGACTGAAGAACAGCCATCCACCAATCATCCGAATGCTGATGCAGTCAGGAGACAAATCCTTTTTCCAGCTTCTTCAGGTGACATTGAAGAGCCATCACAAAGGATGCAAGACCCAGCAAGAAAGATTCCAACCAACTGCAATGAACACCCGCCCCATGTACCCCATGCTATGCCCCTTCCACGCTTAGGGTGTGGGGGCCCCGCCCAGGATGAAATCAACCTTGAAGATGCCAACCATGGAAGTAAGGACCACCGAGCCGATGCAATGATCACTGAGGACATGCCTTTGCCAGACTCCACCATGGAAGTCTTTGTCCTGCATGCTGAAGCCAAGTTCCCGATCACATACAAAGTTGCCACGGATGCCACACCAGGCAAACTGACAGTTGCTGAGGCCAGATTGCAGACCATGCCACTACCCATTGCACCAAGGTCACTAGTAGCTACTCACTTGAAGCTTGACCAACCTTTGCATGCAGAACAGTATGTCATGCTACATGAGAACCTTCCAGCAAGTGCGAAATGTCCGTTCTTGTGTACCAAATACTCGAACATGCAGACGACGCTGAACCTTGGCTTGCCATGTTCAAGATTTGAAGCACTCTGGCGCCAACAAGGGTGGGTAGCAAAAGACGAGATGACATACTACCTTGAAGCTACTGAGTATGATGATCAAGGATACCCATTTCCACCTGCGATCTTCTTCAATGAAACAGATGCCAAAGAAACAGCCAAAGACTGGCTTGAAATCGGTATCAATGTTCATGCCACTGACAAACCATGGTGCTCAGCAGCAGCAGTGGCCGCACACTGGATCCCATTGATCATTTCCCATCAAGGAAATGTTATCCAGCTCATGACCACCCCTGAAGGTACTTGCCTTATTGGACCAGCGAGCCAAATTGCCCATGCTATGGGCAAAACGATTGAAGTGACCCAGCGCATCTTGCCAGGAGCTTTCCCAAGTGATTGTGGTTTCCAAGCCATTGCATGGTTGATTGCCAACCTCAACAACTTTGCAGTTGAAGCCATGTCAGCCTCCAGAGCTGCGCAATGGAGACACCTGTTTGTCCGAGAGCTGTGCAAACGAGGAACCGGACACGAAATCATTCACCACCTGGACATGGCAGGCCATAAGCTTGATGCACAGGAATTGCGACAGCTCACAGAACTTCTTGCCCAACATGGAGTGTGGCCGGAACGAGCAGCCGACAGAGCCCATGCCTTAGCCAATGTCATCCCGGCCAGCAGCATCCGTAACGTAATTGCATCACCCCGACCATGGCAAGATCTCAAAGCAGCCGCAAACGGAATCAAACCTCAGTTCAAACTCATCATGCCAGATGAGCTGAATGCTCAGATTGCCCAAAGAGCCAACCACCGAAAGTATGGCAAGAAGCAACAGCAGAAGCGCTTTGAATCCTCCAAGGAACGCGTCACAGTGTCAGCTGCCGAACTGGTTGTGCCTCATGGAGTTTTCAAGCAACAGGACAGCACCATTCTGGGGCCATTGCAAGTAGGGGACATTGGACCCAATGCCAAAGGGGTCCTCTTGGTAGATCAAGCAGACTGCCAAGCCACCTTGCGACTCCCAACTCCTGTCACCCAGTCAGGACTTGCAGTCATAGTCCTGGCCACCAAAGACAACACTGACCAGCACCAGATGGAGCCAATCAGATTCCCAGCCATGTGTGTTTCCACCCAAGAGCCGCTGATAGCATCAGGATACATGTATCAACTTGGCTCACAAGCTGTCATGCGTCATGAACCAAGTGTCAAGCTGGCCATCGAAGAACAAGCCACGGAAGCCATGCGATGTCTCATCTTCAAAGACCAGGCAGGACAGCTTTGGGACCAGATCCAACAGCACCCAGTGAAACACATCTTTGCCACCGAACCTTTGCTTGCAGCAGTCGACAATGTGTCACCTGTCATAGATGTGTGGGATCGCCAATGGGTTTCCAAGAAGTTCAAGAAAGTGAGACCGGCCAGTGCTGACATTTTTGTCTTTGCCTTCCGAATGCTTGCCGACAAAAGTGAAACGTTGCTTGCCAAGAGCGGCCAACATGGAATCTACTGGGAGCCTAGAACTCCATGTGGAAGATACCCAAGTGATCACTTCCATGTAACATGGTTACCCAATATGACCTTTCAAGATGCCAAGTATGCCCAGCAGACTTCGCCACAAGCCACCACATTGGCAAGACACGGAGACCGATTTGGCCTTCGCAGTGACGTGATGAATGCTCAAGAGATCCATGACAAACACAAGCCCAACACTCCTCTTTTGATGGGCCAATCCAAGATGCTCTATGCAGTTGGCCCCCTGCCATACTCAACAACCAAAGCAGCGCTGCACAAGCTCCTGAAGGCATGGCAGTGGGAAGCCAAGCCTTTACAACCCAAAGGACGAGCTCAGGACGGCAGTGGAGTGACATGGCACATCCAAGCCACCGAAGATCCTGGCCACTGGGTCTATTCCTTGCAGCATGGCGATGTGCTCATATCCAAGATCCAAGACACCAAGCAGGCGGCAGTTCAGATGCCATACTCAATCGTCGCCTCAAAGAAAACCATTGAGCATCTGCAGGGACCAGACCCCTGGGCGAACTATGATCCATGGCGAAAAGATGGGCCGCCGAATGCAGGCCAAGCCACAAAGCCATCCAGCAGTACCCCACCAAGCCAGCCAGTAACTCAGGCACAACTTGCAGCCTGGGAAGCAAGCATGGAGAAGAAAATGCAAGCCTTTGTCAAACACCCTGATGGAGATGCTGACATGGACTCCTCCACCATGGATGCGAGGATCACCAACTTGGAGAATCGCTTCAACCAAGTCCAACAAGCACAAGCCGGCATGGACACCAAGGTCAGCCAGCTTCAAGTTCAGATCGACCACCAAAGCAAGCTCCTGGGTGACAGAATCGATGAGAAGCTCACAGACCAGATGGAACGCATAGAGCAATTGCTCTCCAAGCGTTCTCGTTTTGAATGACTAGGGACCACCATTAATTATGGCCTGACCAAACTGCACAGATGGTTGAAACCTCAACCTTTGCTCAGGACATCTGCACGTATCCGAACGTCACCTCCAGTGACAACCAAGTTCAGATGGATCTCAATGCTGATCATAGCTTTTGCCACTTCGTTCCGGCCGGGAGAGGCCACAACACCAGGACCAGTGATAGGAAACATGAACCCAACGGGCCTTATGGGGAAAGCCTCCGAGATTGCTGAAATGCCGCCTGGCCTTTACACTTTCCAGGAGTCTCATCTAACCAGCCAAGGAATCCGTAAGTTCAAACAAGAACTCTCTTGGTGCCAAACGGGGTATCGAATCTGCCATGGGCACCCAGCCCCACCAAAGAATGACTCTGTGAGAACAATTGGAGGACGTCACACGGGAACAGGAGTGCTCACTCCATATCCATGCAGACCTGTGGAACACCACTGGAGCCAAGAGCAATACCGCTCAGGGAGATGCCATGCTGCCATTGTTCTCATGCAAAAACGATGGATCACAGTAGGGACAGTCTATGGTTTCAGTGAAAGATCTCATTGCCTAGATGTACAACAGCAAACGGGCCTTCTGTTGGATGGCCTAACCACCCGAGTTGTTGAAGGAGCAGAGGGAATGAGGGTCATCACAGGAGACTGGAACCAAGAACGCCAAAACTTGCCACAAGCAGATCAGTGGGAAGCCATGGGTTGGATGGAGGCCCAAGCCTTTGCACAATGGCGATGGTCACAAACACCATTAGCCACTTGCCGACGAACCACAGTAAAAGATTACATATATCTTTCCCCAGAGATCCTGCCATATATCAACGATGTCCAACTGGACTGGTCCATGTTCACTGACCATGCTGTCATCAAAGTTTTCTTGGACGACCTGAACAGACCACCCATGATGCCAATGTGGCGCAAGCCAACCCAGATCCCATGGATGGACAAAAATGCTCATCAAATCTCTTGGGAAACTCATGCAATCCCAACCCAAGACATGAATGAATGGTACCGTAGGATCTGGAACAATGTTGAACAGTTTGCACAAGAACAACAACTTGCCAACAACCAACCGCCCCTGACAAGCAGCCAAAAAGGTAGGGGAGCCACAACTGAGGTCAAATGGACGCAAGAACAAATAGCACCCATCAAGCCTAACCGCAGAGGGGACGTCCAGAACGTCCTGACCACCAGCTCTCTGCAGTATGGCCGATGGACCAGACAGCTTAGACGTTTGCAACACTACACAAGATGTGCCAGCTCAGAAAGCTCCGCTACCATCATTGAACACCGAGCGTGCCTATGGAGCAAGATCCTACAAGCCATAGGATTTGATGGCAATTTCCGTACGTGGTGGGCGAAACTGCCTAAGCTGTTCATAGACTCCCCAGTGTTTCTACCAAGCCATCCTCCAGGGTTTGACATTGCCAATGCAGTTTTCCTTGAGTTCAGCAAGCAGTACAAAGCACTTGAAGCAAGCCTCACAAGAGCCAAAATAAACCATGCAGCGCAAAAAAGAGCCAAAGATCCTTTACAGATCTATCGCGACCTCCAGCGTGAACGAGCCGAACCTGTTCAGACCATTGTGACCACCGACACAATCCAGATCCAAGAATGTCAAAATGTTGGAGATGGTATGACGCAGTTGAACCTTGCATCACCGATTCCTCAAAATTTGCATAGCATTGCCATCAACGGAATCCAAACTGCGGTCAGCATCCCAGACCCTCACCATGTAGTTGTGCCTGTAGATGCATCCCAAGCCTTGGAACCAGGTATCAACATCCAAAAGGTTGAGGCGGAAGTCACTGCAGTGCTACATGCTTTTGAAGAAGAATGGTCACCAAGATGGTTCAAACCTGAACATGAGGACGCTCAACAATGGGAAACAATAGTAGACTTCATGAAGCATGCCATGCCACCGAGGACCACCGAGTTCCCACCAATCACTGCCAAGCAGTTCACAAAAGCAGTCGCAGCCAAAGGAAAATTTGCAGCCATTGGACCAGATGGGGTATCAAAGCAAGATATCCTGCACATGCCACCGTCAGCCATGTCCGACCTGATCGCTCTCATAGAATGCATTGAAGCAGGGTCCCCCTGGCCGACCCAAACCGTCACGGGCCTAGTAGCAGCCTTAGCAAAGACACCGTCGGCACAAACTGTAGGCCAGTACAGACCCATATGCATTTTTTCATTGGTGTACAGGACATGGAGCTCCATCAGAGCTAGACAAAGCCTTAGATACCTTATGGACCTGGTACCCAGCACCCTTATGGGAAACATCCCAGGTAGATCCCCTCAAAAAATTTGGTATCACCTTCAACAGCTTATTGAACACTCTTATTGTCATGCCACAGAACAAGCCGGAGGTGTGGTGGACATAGTGAAGTGTTTCAATGCACTGCCGAGACATCCCCTTGCGGAAATTGCCAAACACCTGGGCCTGCCAGTGACAGTAATGCGGCCGTGGCAACAAGCCTTGAACCAAATGACCCGCCGTTTCCAGGTAAGGGGTGCAGTTGGAAGACCTCTACCAAGCAATAGAGGATACCCAGAAGGCTGTGCCTTGTCAGTAGTAAGCATGGTCGTTGCCAACATCACCGCAGAATTGTGGATGTACTTCAGGTTTCCCTCCGTCAGGCTGTGGTCATTTGTTGATAACATCGAAGCCACTGCAACTTCAGCCCATGAAGCGGTGGCCGCACTTGAAGCACTGGGGGAATTTTGCGATCTGATGGACCTAAGCATTGACCCTTGCAAGACTTACGCCTGGAGTACCTCACCATCAGGTAGAAAACAGATTGTGGAAAGCCAGTTCCACAAAAAGCTCTTTGCCCGTGATCTTGGAGGGCACATGTGTTACTCCAAGTTGAAGACAAATGGCACCATCCAAGACAAAATCAAAGAGTTTTCACCGTTTTGGTTTCGACTTGCCAGATCTCTTGCACCCATGAAGCAAAAAGAAAGAGCCCTGTATGTATCTGCCTGGCCTAACGTTTTTTACGGGATTAGCACCATAACTTTGGGGAATCACCACTTCCAGCGCCTGAGGTCACAAAGTGCCAAAGCCTTGCATGTGAACCAAATAGGAGCCAACCCCGAACTCCAGCTTTCCTGTATAGGAGTCCCATTGGCAGACCCTGAGCTTTACAGTGTTCTTTCAACAATCATGGCATTCCGTAACCATGGAGACCCTGACCTTGCACAATTCACGCTGCAACACCTCACCGACGGAGGTAGTGCTTCCCAAGGGCCCTGCACGAGTTTTCTTGCAGCAGTTCATAAACTAGCCTGGCATTGGACTCATGGAGATACTTGCCTTGACCAACACGGAGAACCAATTAGGATCACCAGCTGCCCACCAGCTGAGCTCAAGCAACGAGTTGTACAAGCATGGCAACAAAGAATCCTGCACTCAACAGAAGCCATCCGGACCACCATGACCGGATTAGCCAACTCAGATGTCAGACTGACGGTAAAGGTCCTTAGATCATTGCCTGATGATCAACAAGGCCTTATGCGTTGTGCACTCAATGGCACCCAGTACACAAATGATGCCCTGAGCCATGCAGGAGTGACTGACACAGATGCCTGCCGTTTCTGCAGTAAGAAGGACAGCCTGTTTCATAGAACTTGGGAATGTTCCTTTTTCCAAGACATGCGTGACGCGTTGCCTGATTTGCCTGACCCAAGCCAGATTCCATCCAGCACAGCTTGCCATGGATGGTTACAGCAATCGCCTGACCTTGCCCAGTTGCGCCACCTTTACATGCGACTGCCAGATACCACAACTGAATTCACAGATTGGAGAGTAAATGAACATCTCCAATACCATGATCTGTTTTTGGATGGAAGCTGTGTGCATCCTTCAGAGATAGATACCCGAATCGCCAGTTGGGCAATCGTTGTTTGGGATGGCCAAGATTTCAAGCGCGTTGCATGCGGCTTAGTTCCAGGGTGGAGACAGACAAGTCTGCGTGCGGAATTGACCGCAGCATTAGCTGCCTTAAAATATGCTGCCAGCCGACAATGCCTTTGCCGCCTATGGTTTGACAATGAAAACGTACAAAACACGCTCCAGCAATGGATCCAAGGTTTTTCCACTGCATGGGAGAAAAAGCAGGACAGTGATTTGTGGCACCAACTTCATGCACAGTTCAGACATTCACAGTCGTACCTTTCTGCAGCATATAAAGTTCAAGCACATGCAAAAGTGATGGACCAGTCACATCCACTAGATGCGTGGGCAGTGCAAGGAAATATCACAGCAGACCTTTTCGCAGCAGAGGCTAGACAAAGGCTCACTCAAGAGTTTTGGACAGTTTGGGAGAAGGTACGCACCCACCAAGCTCAGACCTTGAAGAGTGGTAAAGCGCTTCATTCACTGTTTGTCCAAATCGGCCTTCGAGCTCAAGCGGCGACAATCACCACACCAGTCCCAGTACCACAGACTTTGGCACAAGACACAACTGCTGACGTCGACACAGGTATTATGGCGCTGGCGGGAAAAGAGGTCACTGATTTTCCAAAGCACTTACAAGTTGATGAAACTTTTCATATACTGCAATGGGTACGTACGTTGACAGCGGAATCAAGGGGCACTACATGGGTTTCGTACCATCAACTCCTTGTTGACTACCAAAAACAAACGCACAGACTTGGACCATTCACAAACGGACGGAAATGGACAGCCAGAGGGGTGGATGTACTTTACAACTACCCCCAACAAGTACAGATGTTCGGAAGATTCCTCCAAAACTTGGCCAAAGGAATCGACAAACCTTTGCAGACTGATCAACGTAGACCTTCAAGCACAGTTTTGGCATTCTGGAGCGGCTGTTTACGTGTGGCAATTGCCGAAGAAAGGCTCACAGAAGTCGACCGACACTATAGGGGCGTAGTACAGAGCCTTCCCGTGCGACAGATCACACGGGATATGGCCAATGTACCACCAGGTTTCTTTGCAGATTAGATACGTTTCTTGGGGCGAGCAATCGACTCCGCCTTCTGAGCGATTGCTTCCGATGAAAGGGTAGAAAGGGTAGGGTTTTGACCCATCCCCATTTGTCCAGATGCTCCTCAAGCGATCTGAAGCACAAAAACACAACGGCCGTGCGCGAACCTGGGAGGTGGTCGGTCTGAACTTTGCCAACGGCCAACAGGTGGGCGGAGGCACAGCGGTCATGGTTTGATGATTTGGATCCGGAAAACAGGGAGTTTTTTGTCACCGGAAAACATACAAAAAACTCGTGAAAATTGCCATAGAAATAGTTTACCTAGCTATAAAATGGTGATTTTCAATAGTTATGTTAAATTACCAAGAGGGTAAGTCACCTTAATTCTGGTTTCCTGTGACCTTTTTCTTCATTGGACTTACCCAGTGAGCTGCCGGAGGTTACAAAAATGGTGCCATTGCTCAAGAAGAGGCGCAGGGTACTCGTACTGTGTCGGTCAGTGTATTCACGGGTGAATGGTTGGTCAAGCAGTAACCGGAAGGGAAGGTATATTGGGTCAACCTTGGTTAGATACTTTAGTATTTTAATCATTTTTTTTAAACTATCAATGGCAACATTTACTACCCAGCCAAAACTTAGATTGTTTGACAGGTATCGAAAGTTCACCATGCAGGACTAGCAATTGGAGTAGCCTTTGGGAATCTAAGAGTTTGCCACCTGGAAGGCATAGTAAATGTTCCCAGTGTGGCAATATCATGATGCTAATGTTCCAACCTTGCAGCAGAATGTCCTTGTTTGATAATGATATCCATGCATAGATGATGTTCACTGAGTTTTCATGATTTGTTCTATAGCAATACTCGGGCTTTTTAGCCAGCCATTTAGGATTACTGGAGGCTACATGGATGTGCATTCCAGTTGATATATAGTTGATATCTAATCCAATTTTACACCCAAAAACTGCAAAGCAAGCCCCGGTCTCTTTTGGCTTCTGACCACCACTTTTCGAATTGGGATGCACATTCGGCGCACATCTGATCCATGGAATAAACATATAAAAAATATATATATGCTCTTAGGTGACTCTCGATATCGATACAAATATATATATATGTATATATATATACACATACTGTGTCTAAAATTCATATCGCGACTAATTAACAATTGAAATATTCTCTAACTCTTAGGTCTGCAGTTGAACATAGACCCATTCCAAATTGATACCGCTCGGAAGTGCCCCACCTTTTTTCCATCAGGACCTCTGTCGTCGGATGCCAACGCTCTACACATCCTTGAACAATGCGAAGCGGGAGCGGAAAGTGTCAGCGGGGGCGGTGGGAAGGTACGCTGACTTTTTGCGTCTTTGGCGGTGGCTACCCTCTGGGAATTAAGAATGATCTCATTTATTTCACAGGCTAAAATTTGCTACCGAAAATGGTTATCTAGTTTCAACTGGAAAATCACCATATTTCATAGCTATTTCACAGGTGATGTTCATTTCAAGGTGATCTGAACGCTAAGAAAAACTGGTGATTTTCCAGTTCGGTGAAATTTCCACTTCGGCTACATGGAGACCACGACATACCACGACTCTCTGCACTGAAAAAAAGCCGCAAGGGAGCAACTCCATGATTTGGATCATTCAACGGATGTCTTTGGCAAGTACTTGGACGCCCTTATGTCTGAATAAATGGCTTTTTGATGTACATAACAGCCATAGCAATTTGCATGTTCCAGGGATTTATTATTTCTAAAACTAGAGAGTTTTTTATTGTTTGATCATTTGAGATTGAGATCATTTATAACCTGAGATATCTACGACAGTTATACATGTTTATAGCATGTATATTGGGATTATCTACACTTTAGGTGTTTCTCAGGATAACTAAGATGTTTCGTGGGTTCCACAGCGACACCGAACACAAGGTGCAAGCTGGCCATGGGGGTACCCCATTTTTTTTCGCTCGCTGGATGGTTAAAATCCATGGGAAAATCCATGAAAATGTGAGACCCCCGTTGGATAGCTAAGTTGGTTTAGATTCGCCCCAGTAACTAGTTCGTTATTTGCGTACCATAAACCATAGTGAAATTGGAGTTATGTGCACCAACTAAACGCTATCGAACGGGGGCCTCACATTGTTCTAAAATGGATGATGACTGGGGGTACAATTCCCCTGGGATTCCCCCATACTTTGCGGAGACCTAATGGTTGAAAAGCATCAGTCCTAACTTGAGTTGGATCATCCAGGTCTGGTAAGGCAAAACATAGCTATTGATTTACCTCTTCAAAATGGTGATTTTCCAGTTAGCTATGTTACTTTACCAGGCTGTAATTTGTCTTGCACTTTGCTGCAACTTGCATCTTCCAACAGGCTCCAACTATATTTTTCGATAAGAATTCACACAGCCAAGCAGTCATCCAATCACCATACCTCAGAATGCCTGAGATCTTTCCGGAGTAAACCTTGGTGAAAGGCACTGCAACATACAAATCAATATTTTGGACAACCATTTGGGATATGATATGTATATATTGTATCTGTATATGTAATATAATATATATATATAGTATGTGTATATATCACATATACACACATTATATCTTTGAAGATATGTGATATGATACAATAGTTGTTCCATATATTCATCACATCTCATCACGCTCCCAGGAGGGGCTCTATCCCTTTGGACCCTGCACCTGCAACAATCCCAAGCTGCCGGCCAAGTACTCGGACGCCGGGACGCCCATGTGGTGAAGTGGCCGATGGCGCCATTGGCCGAAAAGCCGTCCCTATTTTTGGTGGGACATGTGGATGAATTCTATGGTTTATGGCAGATATAACTATAGTTAATGGGGATTATAATGGTTTATAAATTATAAACCAACAAACACTGCTTGGTGGTGACTGGAACCATGGAATGGATTCTGACTTCCCATTCAGTTGGGAATGTCATCATCGCAACTGACTAACTCCTTTTTTTTTAGGGGTAGGTATACCACCAACCAGAAAAGATCTGTTGAAGGAGTTTAGATTTCCCAAATTTATAGCTGTTCACCAACTAGTTGCAGGTATTATAATATGATATAATATGCTACAATCCCATAAAGCAACTGTTAAGGGCTATAGCTGAAGTTCTCAAGACACCGTGGCGGGCCGTGGGCGGAGGTGGTTCTCTGAAAGAGATACCAAGCGCGCGACATGGTCCTAAAATGGTAAACTACGGTTATAGCCCTTAAGACTTATAAAAGGGCCTGTGGCCCCTGCAACTTAGGTTGTATATGTGCATATTATATATATATATATGTATGTATCCCTTGAGTTTTAGTGGGGTAACTTAGCCAGTTATAGCTGTTGAAGGCCATAAGTGTACCCCAAAACAGCAATGTGAGTGTAACCTAGTTGTTGCCCATGTAGATGCATTTTGCTGTGTCTTTTGGGGATTCTGGACGGGGTGATGCAGGGACATATTGTATGTAGGGTTCCATGTCACTCGCTTGGATGGTTGATAGAGATGACTGTCTTCAGAAGCGTGTTTGTTTATATATATATATATATACATGCATGTATATATATATATATATATATGTACATTAAAATGATGTTCAATGGGACATGGTCGGACATGAGTAAAAGGACATGAGCAAAAACAGGCCTTTTCTTTGCTTTGAAATTACGAAGTCTCATGGATTTCGACCGAGAGTTCGACCGAGCAGAGGTCCTGTGGACTCCCAAAGTGTGCATCGCACGCGCCAGTGAAGTATGGAGCTCAGCGACTGGGGAAAAAATGGCACATCTATCTATTATCTATCTATCTATCTATCTATATATATATATATGTAAGTAAATAAGTATTAAAGTGAATATTATTGAATATATATATATATTATATTATTGAATGGTGAGCCCATCTGAGGCACAAGATAAATCGTGACCATTTGAACCCAGCTACGTTCGGTATATCCTTTTGCAGTCGCAGTCGCAGTCGCGGACCGAGCCGCTCTGCTAAGTCCCTTGGCTATGAACTGCTGGATGAGAAACAGCAGGCAGCGGGAAGTGTCCGAGTTGCGAAAGTAATGCTTCAAAAGATTTTCAGACATGGTTTTGTCTTTAAAAAACACTTGTAACAGATGTTATAAGTATATATATATATTATAACCTTATTTATGGAATAAAGTCATAAGCATTCATAACTTGTAAAGGGCTTTCACTGTATGGCTTTGGCCCAAAATTGGGTTATACCCGTACCCCGATATGGCACTCTCCGAAGGGAGAAGGATGATGTAGATGATAGACATGAACAAATGTTGGAGTAATGAGTATATTTTCAAACGCACCCATATGTTTTGATATGTTTGATTTTCTATGTGAGTGGATAATCCCAACTGTCAAACATAGGTTCAGGGGGGTGGAACCACCAGATTTCTGTGAGTCAACAGAATTTAACACCATTGATTTTCAGGACCTGGATCGCTTCATGGAATTACATCCAAGATACCCTCAGATCATATAAAATAACTATGGAAAATCCCCTATGTAAAAGGTAAATTACCCATAGATGGGCTAATTATTGTTCATAGTGAAATTAACTTACAGTACCAAATGTTATTTATTTTCCTTGTTTTAAAAATGGTGAAAATTCCGGCAGCAAATGGAGCTTGACAAAGCCAATGCCCAAGGGCAACTGGGCCTCCAACATGTGAGGCACCGAGAAAGATTAGTTGGCTTATAACTGGGCTGACAGGCTAAATGTATTCTAAATGTAGTATCTGTAGTTGATGTTGGGTATAGACTAGATGGAATTAGATGTATAATGATGATTTAATGATGTACATATGAAACGTAACTTGGAACTGGACTAAGTCCGCATTGTATATACCTGTCCTAAGTTTGTGTTTTTCTTGGCGCAGTCGCGCAGCCAAAAACATCCCAGCAAAAATAGTGGGAAGACATGAGCCATTCTGTGGATGGTTGCGAAATCCTGCACCAGTTGGTAGATGGGCAAATTCCAGTCA